AGAACAACGCGGAGAAGGAAAGAAAGGACAGAGAACTGGAAGCAGAACTTCGTCGTGAAGGGCATCTTCAGGAAACTACATCGTGGACTACCTCATCTACCAGTTCGAAAGGAAAGCAGGAAGGAAAAGATGAAGCTACATCGTGGACTACGCCGACTACAAGTTCGAAAGAAGGAAAGGAAGAAGCTACATCGTGGACTACCTCATCTACCAGTTCGAAGGAAAAGCAGGAAGGAAAGGATGAAGCTACATCGTGGACTACCTCAACTACAAGTTCGAAAGGAGGAAAGAACAAGGAAGAGGAAGCCGAGAGCATCACCGAGAAGATCCGCCGAATCAACGAGGAGATCCAAAGGAAAGCAGAAGAGTCAAAAGACAAGGAAAGCGATTTCGAGTACCCACGCGATTTTTCGTCCGAGTGGAAGTTCTACACCGAGAATGGCTCGATTTACCGCCAGCACTACGTGACGCAGGAAAAGATTTGGTGCGACTACGACTACGCCTACAAGCACGAGAAAGGAAAAGGAAAGAACAAGAAGAAGAAAGGCCATGCAGGAGAAGAAGAAGGAAAGACAAGCTCAGGATCAGGAGGACAGCAGCCGTTGTCAAAGGAACAAGAAGAGGAGCTGAAGGCAAAGTTGAAGAAGACCTTAGAAGCAGCAGCAGAGGAGAACGATAGGAGACTTGAGAAGGAAAGGCAAGCCAAGGAGGAAGAAGCACGAGAGGCAGCAGCCAAGCAAGCAAAGGAAGCACAGGAAGCAAAGGAAGCACAGGCAGCAAAGGAAGCCAAGGAAGCAAAGGCAGCAGCAGTCAAGGCCAAGGAAGAAGAGGAAAGGCACAGGAAGAATGCAGCAGCCCAAGCAGCAGCAGCAGAGAAGGAAGCAGAAGCAAGGAAGGAGCTCGAGGAAGCAGTCCTCTTGCTTATGCAGGAAAGAGAGAAGGACAAGGAAAGGATTGAAAGGCTCGAGAAGGCACTCAGCCAAAGAGGAAGCGATGCAGGATCAACAACGGAAGAGGAGAGCCGCAGCCCAGCAAAGGAAAAGGAGGAGCCAGAGAAGGAGGAGCCAAAGGAAAAGAAGGAGAAGGAAGACCCAGAGGTGAAGGAAAAAGGACCGTACTCGCCGAGGAGCTACGTGAAAGGCTCAGGAAAAGACAAGACAAGGAACAGCTACGCCGTCTTCCAGTACAAGGAAAAGTTCTACCAGTGGAAGTGGAACAACGACAGCCAGTACTGGTACTTCTTCGATTCAGAAGGAAAAAGTCCCGGTGAAGGAAAATGGGTGAAGCAGCACAAGGACAAGAACGGCAGGAAAGTTTGCGACGAGCAGCTCAAGAAGTTCGAGAAGTTCGTTGAGGAGAAAAGGAAAGAGAAGGACAAAAGCCAGGAGAAAGGAGAAGAAGGAAAAGGAAGCAGCAGCAGCAGCAGCAAGGACGTCGACGATGGCTACTACGAGATCACAAGCTTTTCGTGAAAAGGAAAGTGAGCTTGGCACAGTGAGCTAGGACGGACTGAGAGCTTGACTAGCTCCAGGAAAGTTTTCTTTTGCAGTTTGTTTCAGGATGATGATCCGAGTAAAGTAGGAACAGCAGCGTTTTGTTTTGTACAGGATAGTAGACATTTCGTTTGAAGGAAATGTGAGCGAACTTGGAGAGATTCGCCAGTGGACTTGAAAGAGTCTGCGCTGAGGAAAGAGTTTCAAACACTTGTGTGTGTTCAGGAAAGAGAGTCGAAGCCAGCTTAGTCTACGACTTTCACTAACTTCGAAGGCGGGGTGTTAAACATTCCAGCCTAGTAGGAACACACTGTTGTATGTGTAGGAGAATGCACAGATTGAGCCAGGAACCAACTTTGTGGCCCAGGCTCAAGAGGAGACTCCCCAGTCTCAAAGGAGTGACAGGACAGAAACCACAGCAGAGCGGTGAAGCGAAAAGTGAGCCGCGGTGGTGGTTTAGGAAACCCTTTAGGAAAGCCCGTTCTTTAACATTTGACCTCTCTGCCCGAATTGTCCGCGCTTGCACGCCGGTGTGACAATTCACATCCTCCGCCCTTGGGGTGCCCTTTCGGGGATTTCTCCACTGCCGAAAGTTTCCCGAGGTGTTTTACAATCGGTATGCTTCCGCGGCCTCGCTGGCCCTGGGCTCCGCTCATGCTATGTCTTCTCCGTCCGGCCTCTCAGGCCCAGTGCCTGTCGGTTCTAAGGTCCTCCGGTTTAATTTTGAAAGCGGAGTGGTCTTCTCGCAGCGCCCTCAACCCCACAGAAAGCTGGCAGATCAGGTCTTGCTAGCTGGCCACTCTGTCTCTCTTACCCTAACGCACTTCTTCGAGGTGGCCACAGCTCTGCCTGACCAGGTCTTGACTGTTATTGCCAGAGTGCTCCTCGATGGTCCTTTGACTGTTGTTAAATGTAAGCTGAACCTCTTCGTCATTTGGAGAAAGTGGCTCAGGAGCTGGAGGGGCAAGTCCTTGGATTGGCCCGATGAGCACTTGCACCATGACCTCACGCATGGCTTCCATCTTGTGGGGGAGGAAAAGTTAAGCGGTGTTTTCCCTCTGGACTCCAAACCGACGGAGCTGACTGTGGACGGCTTGATGGAACAGGCGAGCTGAGTGTGTAAAGCATATTGACACACTGTGGGCAGCCCGTCATCTTCTGAGACCGGACTGCCGCATTTGTTTGATTCCGGAGTCAGCTTACAGTTTTTGAGCCGTTCTTGGATGTTTGGATGGCAACGTATGTGGTCACGAATAACGGGTACCACATGGCAGCCCTTCTGCGCAAACGGTACATGAGGTCGCAACTGATTGGTCCGGCTTTTGAAGGGCTTGAAGTCTTGCTCCCGCGACAGCGCGGTGCAATTTTTGAATATTGTGCTCTCGCCGCAGCGCATGGTGCGGTGCGCGTTTGGGCTGGAATCACGCTTCCACCGCAGTGTCGTGCTCATTTCGGCTTGCAGGGGCGGTCTTGGGAGCTCCCGGATCAAAGACTCAAGCTGTTCATGCTTGAGTAATCCCTTCCCCCTGGGCCCGAAAAATCTTTAAAACTTGGGGGGGTCTATATCCTAAAACCTGAATTCCGAAACCTAACTCAAGAGCGAAGGCCCTGAAGCCCTCCCCCCCCGAATTCTCAAACAGGTTTAGTATTGGGCTGGGCGCCGGCAGGGTCCGGGAAAAATGAGATTTAAAATTGGGGAGGTTTAGTGCTAGGGGGAAGGGATTATCTAACAGCAAGATACACGCTTGGGTTGTTTATTATTTTCTGTTTTTCCCTCACGCCTCCGTTGATTGGCCGGGATTCCAAAACGGAGCGTTCTAGTTGAAGCTGTTCCAAAGCAGCAGTTGATTGGCCGGGATTGAAAATGGATCTGAGAGCCCGCAGTGTTTACAACAACAGTGCAGCTCCGCACCCACGCCCAGTTTAGGGTAGGGTGTGAAGTTTGGGTTTAACCAACTCGCAATCAATGCATGGAGTTAGGGTCAGGGTCTAAGGTTAGGAGCTTGCGTTTCGGGAGGATTGGTTTAGAATGTTTACATGTACGGAATTATCCCCTCACCCCCCCCAAGCCCCCCCACCTACCGCGGGTTTAAAGTCGAGCGTTTGGAGTGCTTACAAAAATGCACAAAAACACACCCCCTCACAAACACATCTGTGACTCCTAGCGTGTCTAAACGGCCGAAGTAAGCACAAATGATGGGTTGGGCTTCAGGTGGAAAACCACACGCCTGCCGATGTGGGTAACATGTTTGGACAGCTCAACGTGTCGCAAGTGGTTGGAAGACGGTTAGAGGAACGGGGGGTCGCAAAATACAGGTCGTACGGAGTTGCAAATGACGGGTGACAGGTGTGCCTACACAACATTCTAGCCTATGCTGTACCAGTCTTGTAGGCCTTTTATATTTTGCAGTACACTATACCCAGGCATTTCTCAAAGGAATATGGGAAGCCAAGGGGAACTTCAAGAAAACCAGAAGTAGAAGGACGAATGCACCTTTTCCGGCAGTTCGGGTTTCCGAGGTTCCCATAGAAGGCCTTGGCCTTGCCCCCCTTGGCCCCCCTTTCGAGTGGCTTGACCCTCGCAGGCTTTCGGGCTGGATCTGTAGTAGGAACCTCCATACAATACAAGGCCTAGAGTCCCCTAAAGTAAAGCAAAGGGTTCCCACTAAAGCACTTTCGCCCCTGAACCCCCGAAGTGAGCCCTAAACTCTAATCCGGGACACAGCAGGTTTACCTGGAAATATGTTCCAGTGGGTTTCCTGGTGCGTTTAGGGCTTCCGGGTTTTAGGGTTAAGGGCCTAAAGTGTTTAGAGTTGTTTGAAGGTCTTTAGGTGTGCATAAGGGCATTGAGGGTTTAGAGGTTTTTGCACTGTACGGCCCAGCCTAAAAGTGGGATTCTGTTTCCTGGCTTAGCACGTTCGGTTGCGTTCTCATCTGTGAAGGCGCAGACCAGCATGTTTTCGCGGCCGTCGGCTTAAACCCATGCACTGTGTACACCCTGGCAGGGAGAAGACATCTAGACTAGGCTACTCCGGCAGTGGTGGTAACAAGGTTGATGCTGGTGCGGTGGCAACGCAAACGGTAGTCGTAGTCGGGTCGTAACACAGGAAGAGTGTGCAATCCTAGGAGCAGCAACAGCACGGCAGCTCTGATTTGCTATGTCGGAGTTCCCGAGCCAGCCACGGTCATTCAGGCCCCGTTTTGCCGTCCATGTCTTTGTTCTGGCCACTTGCTTCCAAGAGGGCTCCTCATCGGTTTGTCCAAAAGGAGCTCTCGAGGCACATTGGGCTTGCACCGATGATGCGGAGGATTGTAATGCTGAATTCTTGGGTGCCAAATGAGCTTTCTGCGTAAAGAACCCGTTTGGGATTCTTGTGGTATACGGGCCCTAAGCCCAACGTCCCTAAGCCGCCTGAGCCATACATGAACCGAACTTTCAGGGTTCCGCTTTGGTTCCCTTAAGGAACGCCTTCTGATCCGTGCAAGTGTCTGGAGGGTTTCTTCCCCATGGGGAAGGAAGGTTGGTCTCCACATCTTGGCAGAGGATACGAGTTCACGTGCTGTCCCTCGGCCCTCCTTAGGAAGTACGTTCTGGTTTGTTTATGGCAAGACATTTCTTGTATGAAGTCTGAAAGAATTTATATTCGAAATTCGAAACAATGCTGAATACTATGTTGAACAGGGTACCCAAGGTCCAGGCGAGAGAACAAGCATGTGTGGGGAAGACACCTACGCTGGCGTCCTGTCCGTGTGCCTTCTCGTTGTTGGCTTCCTGGGCGCCGCCGCATGCACATTCCTCATCCACCACCTGAAAGGCCACGAGCCCTTGACACCAGAAGACCTTGCCCTCACACAGAACCCCATCGTGCATGAAGGTTCTAGGCTTCATGAAGCAGTCGAGCAACATATGTGGTGCGTAACGCTCGACGATCTCAAGCAGTTTCGTCGCCTTGTTCTTCATGCCATCGTGACAGGCACCTGATCCTGATTTGAAAAAGTAGTTGATTGTAGTGTCTGTCATGTTCCAATAGCACTTGAAAAGTGACGGCAAAATTGTTGTTGACAGGGAGACGAAGAGCAACGCAGGAATGATCAAACCGACAGACCAAGATCCATTTGATGCCACAGACACGCGAATCGGACCATCTGTGTACACCGTCAACACGCAATATATCAAGCCGGTGACGGCCGCGGCGGGCAACCCCAGTTGGGCATTGATGCTCGATGGCTTTTAGCGCGTGCCTTTCTTCGTCAGTACTCTCTAGCTCTGGTGCATGATCACTCCCTGGCCCTTGCCCTGAACCCCGGAGGCATTAGGAGCATCCAAGGATGATCCACCCACAGGGCCTGAAATGCGACTTGTTTATCACACATGGATGGGCAGAGGGCATCTTTGAGTTCTTGGACCAGGTAACAAGCTCGTGGCCATATGGTGCAAAAGCCGCCTATGTCTGCTTCCTCTCGAACCCGCAGAATTTAGACATCGGCGGGATGATCGCAAGCCCAGAGGAGTCACCCTTTGCCCGGGCGCTGGCATCTGCGACGCAGGTGCTGGCAGCACCGAATCACAAGCTCAGTATCTACACGCGGGCTTGGTGCCTTACCTGCATGCAACGCATTGAATTTTGGATGTTTTTCCTTCGTGGCGATGATAAAGGTAAGCTTGCATCATTGACTGTTGCTCGAGAAGCAGGTGTGTTTTCGAAGCATATCTAGCGTACAGCTGGGGCAAAGCCATCTTCACGGCCAGAGCTTTGCCACCGCAATGCTGGTCAAGAACACTACGAGCATCAAGCTGGTCTATCATGATGTTGGGCATATGCTTCTGCACGATGATGCTGGGAAACAGGGACTGGGCTCTGTTCTCTGGCGACCTCGTCTTCTTGGCGAACATTGTTTTTGCTTCCCTCGCATTTCTTCTCGGTATCTCCTTCCTGTACTTAATGACGACAGGCAGGTACGAATGGAAGACCACTGAAGTCGCAGTCTTTGCATGTAGCACCTTTGTGGCCGCCTACCTGGCGACCAACACATTCCAGCTGTCTTTCAGGAGGCCTTCCAACTTCGTGCCGGTTTGCCTGGCCCCGTTGTGTGCATGGGCAATGGAGTACGATCGATTGTTAGGTGCCGAGACCGCAAAGCAAACCCGATATTTGCGCGCCGGCTTCACTGGCAAGATCCGACCCTAGCACCAGCTGTGAGAAGTAAAATGCACTAGCTGCCTTATTGCTCAGGCGTCCTCCCAAAGTAACACAGGGACCCTGCTACTTGTTGTAACGAATTGATCCCAAAACCCTTGACCCCTACATCCATGTACATCGTAATGTTAGGAAAGAAGGAGAGCAAGACCGTAAGACCTTTTGGGATTTCAGGAAACGCGATGACATCCAACCCAGCGGATCTCGAGTCCATCCGGAACAGCATCGAAGCAAGCGGAACGGAAGCGGCTGTGGACGAGGCAGTGGCAGTACCTGGGCCTCAAATGCCTTGACACTTGTACGCTTCCAGACAGATCCGCCTGCCGTAAAGATTTTTGAATCCCGGCCTAACCGACCCCAGGTACTCCTCCGGATGAACATCTCTACTCCTGAGTTGTGCCTCGCTACAGCCCGCGCGGGCGAGCTGGGAAACGCCTCAAACTGGAGCCGTGGTTTGTTTGCAATCAGCCTGGTCTTCTGGATCACACAGGCCTTCAACACCGCACCCAGGCTGCGCTTCAGGAGATGTTCTCTCGTGTTTGCCTCCGCCGTGCCTAAGCTGTCTTGCACAAATAAGCCAATGTGAAGGCTTTGTGGAGGACCGAGCCGGGATTTGCATGGATCCCGCCAGTCGCTGCCGCTGAAGCCCTCGTCGCGGGCATTGGCTTTCAGTTGATGCCCCGCGACCGCATGGCTTTTGCACAAAGATCTCAGGCATTTCTTCTGCTTGTGGCTCCCAAATGGATTCCTGGAGTTCCCTTCGGTGGCAAGTGGGGTGATGTCATTGTGAACGGTGTTGTATGTCCTTTCGTCATCCTGGTGGCGTTCGCCGGGCCTTCTTGCACTGCGCGTGTGCCCGTTTTGGGTCCCATGATCGTGCGCCTGCTATTTGGGCGAAATCCCTTCCAGTACTCTCGGCGCGGCCCTGCTGACCCAGTGCGAAAGCAGAGCGCAGAGAACGGGAGTGCTTCACTTTCGTCTGCAACAGCTCTTGCGGAGATCGATGATTTTGTGTCTATTTGACATTGTGCGGTCTTCGTGTCATATTCTCACCATGATTCTTTACTGGAATAGCATTGCTTTTATGGACCCCCGCGAGGATGAACGGAACCATGTCATCAGGGATACTTTCTATCAGATTGATGTGTTTGGTAATTGCTTCATGCCTTGGGATGTCTGCAGGTCTCGCTGCCGCTGGTGCAAAGTGTTTTAGTGCGTGTGGGCGTGCCCTTGCCTTTGCAAAGCAGAACTTGTTTAACAGGACGCGGCGAAACGCCGAGTCGAGAAAGAGGTACTGAAGCACCCCATTTGATGTGTGCCATGCGAAGACATGGGCAGACCAACTGGTGCCATCAGTTTGCGTCTGGACGAAAACGCAGGGAAGAGAGAGCGAGAGAGCGAGAGAGAGGTAGAGCGAGAGAGAGATAGAGCGAGAGAGAGAGGCAGACAGACTTCACCGTGTTTAGGGCTCGAGGGAGGAGGGTGTAGATATCAGGGTGGCAACTCGGCTTTCCCCCCTTCCCCTTGAGCTCTCTTGGCAGCCCAGAACTGCTTGGTGGCGGGGGCCTGGACACCCATGCACAAAAGAACGAACGAAAGAAGGAACACGAAGGAAACAAAGAAAGAGCGAAAGAGAGAAAAGAAAGAGAGAAAGAAAGAGAGAAAGAAAAGAGAGAAAGAGAGAGAGAAAGAAAGAGAGAGATAGAGAGAGAGAGAGAGAGAAATGTCAAAGGTTCGCAGCGGGAGGGGAGGGGTTTTCGGGGAGTGTGGAACATGTAGAAAGGCCCAATAGACCGGAGAAACATAGGAGGAAACCCAGCTCAACACATCCCGTGGAGGGTTTGTCGCTCATGTTTGTTGCTTTTGCCGAGCAGCCGGGACAGCGTTGAGCACGAGTTAAGGCACACTCAGCAGAAGCCGATGAGGGAGATGATGATATAAGGGGTTTATGTCGTTAAGAGTTTCGGGTTCTGTTTAACATGATGTCGGCAGTCTCACGCAGGGAAAACAAAGCAGGTGAGAACAATGCAGTGAAAGTGCATAACGCGGGTGGTTCAGGCGATAATGGAGGGGGAGGGTGGGGAACAATGCACACTCAGAGCAGTCTCGCCGTCTTCCCTGTTTTCGTTTCACAACGACGACTTGTGGACCTGGGCGTGCCCAGCCCCGTAGAAGAAGAAAAAGAAGAAGAATAAGAAGAAGAAGAAGAATAAGAGGAAGAATAAGAAGAAGAAGAATAAGAAGAAGAAGAAGAAGAAGAAGAAGAAGAAGAAGAAGAAGAAGAAGAAGAAGAAGAAAAGAATAAGAAGAAGAAGAAGCAGAAGAAGAAGAAGAAGAATAAAAGAAACACACACACACACATATTCACACAAATTCACACACATTCACACACACACCATTCACACACATTCACACACATTCACACACATTCACACACATTCACACACATTCACACACACACACACACACACACTCTCACTCACTCACTCACTCAGTCACTCACTCAGTCACTCACTCACTCACTCACTCACACACCCACACCCACACCCACACCCACACCCACGCCCACGCCCACGCCCACGCCCACGCCCACGCCCACGCCCACGCCCACGCCCACGCCCACGCCCACGCCCACGCCCACGCCCACGCCCACGCCCACGCCCACGCCCACGCCCACGCCCACGCCCACGCCCACGCCCACAACGCCCACACCCACACCCACCCACACCACACCCACACCCACACCCACACCCACACCCACACCCACACCCCCACACCCACACCCACACCCACACCCACACCACACCCACACCCACACCCACACCACACCCACACCCTCCCATACCCACACCCATACCCACCACACGCCCCACGCCCACGGCCCCACGCGCCCACGCCCCTGCCCGCGTCTGCGCCCCCGCGCCCGCGCCGCCCACACCCACGCCGATGCCCACGCCCACGCCCACACCCACAGCCACCCCACCCCCACGCCCATACCCATAACCACATCCACACCCACGCACGCGCACACGCGCACAGACACACAGACACACAGACACACAGAGACACAGACACGCAGACACGCAGACACGCAGACACGCAGACACGCAGACACGCAGACACACAGACACACAGACACACAGACACACGGACACACGGACACACGGACACACGGACACACGGACACACGGACACACGGACACACGGACACACGTACACACGGACACACGGACACACGGACACACGGACACACGGACACACGGACACACGGACACACGGACACACGGACACACGGACACACGGACACACGGACACACGGACACACGGACACACGGACACACGGACACACGGACACACGGACACACGGACACACGGACACACGGACACACCGACACACCGACACGCGGACACGCGGACACGCGGACACGCGGACACGCGGACACGCGGACACGCGGACACGCGGACACGCGGACACGCGGACACGCGGACACACGGACACACGGACACACGGACTGGCTTGCGGAATGATGTAGTAGACCTTAAGTGGTAGAAGTGGAGCACCTTTCTGGAGAGGTAGTGGAGGACGAAGGAAGATTTATATGAGACAGCAACAGACATGTTGCACATGGACTCTTGGAAACACTCAACAGGATGACACCTGCTCCGTAAGGTCACTCAGCGCATAGTGCAACATTGCTCTGCATGATCACGTGGGCAGGATGCGCAGCTGCTCTGCATGATCACTCGCCCTTTTTGGAGCATTCGATTTGGCATTGCAAGTGAATTATGTTGGGGCTCTGGAACCCCTGATGGCTGACCACCTGCTCATACTCGTAGTACGTCTCGTTGCAGTACTGCATCTGTGATGTGTTCACATGCGCGGTCCTTGTTTGGGTTTGGTAGTGGTGGTGTCTTGCTCCGATAGAGCCAAAGCCAACCATGCTGCCAGCACATCGTTGTATCCCATAGTGCGAAGGGGCTGGGCTTTTGGGTTGACATAGCTGCAAAGATGGGTTGTGCTGGTGCAAGCAAATACGATGTACATGTAGTTGCATGCAAGATAAGAACAAATGCTACGCAAGTGCATCCATCAGGTCGAGATAAGTAGAGCTCGCACTGTTTTGGTGAGCCTCGAATACTTGTTCACGCGCTAGGTATGGACGATGAAGATGTTGACGTAGTCGTCAGCGGTGTGTCCGAAGTCTGCCAGCATCTCACTGTAGCTGAACAATGATCTCCAGTGACGTCACGTTTGCGAAGAGAGAGGAACCAACCAGACATGGTTGAAAAGGAAGGAAGCATGAAGGGACACCATGGAACTAAGTTGATGCTCCATCCCTTTTGATTTTCCTCGCCGAAGGGATCTTGCAACTTCCTCTTCCGTGATTGCACGTGTCTGTACAAAAGCTTTTGATGCCTGTGTGCACGTTGCGGCTCGATTGCTTCGTTGTGGCCCGCCGGGCTGATTGAAGCTCAATGTTGGAGGTCATCGTCGCGACATAGCATCCCGCCGTGCTTCGAGAAGATCTTTGCATTGCCTTCGGTGAGGAATTTTTTTCAACTTGCTATTGTAAGCTGGTAGACATAACAAGTACAGCCCTCTGCTCAACATCCCCAACGTGTCTGTTGAAGCCCGAAAATTGAGATCTTCCAAACGAATCTCCAGAATCTCCCAGGTACCGGAGCTGGAAAACTGCCGTGAGAAGCTCATGTCAGAGGGCTCCCAGAGTGCTCCCGTGCTGGGAGGCCTTCGTTGGTATTTCGAAGACGGAAACAAATCTATATCGACAGACTATAATCAGAATAGTACCTGGAAGCGAATTGAATACGTATTGTGCATCCTTTGGAGTCTTTTTGGAAGGGCGGGCCATATTTCAGGAGTGTCTGTGGGACGGACATGGTTTAAAGCTGACGTTTTCGATTTTTGTTTCCTACATCGTGTGATTGATGCGATGCCAGGTCAAACGGAAGGGGTTGCGTTTCAACTCGGGTATTTCCTCCTCTCAACGACCAGACGCTACCAGGTGAAGGGGTCCTACCCTGCCAAGCTACCTTCAAGTGTTGCGGATTTGTGTTGTTGCTTGTTTGCGTCGTGAGACCAGGCTGAAACTACTGAATCATTTTGCGAGGTCCGCTGGTCTCCTGGAAGCAGTTTTGGCTGGGGGTGGTCCCGCTTTTCGTCACAACTGTGTTTCTTCTCAGCATCTTCGGCCTTTGGTATGTATCGGCGATCATCGTCGGCCTCGTCCTTCTTTACATCATCATAGAGGTGATTATCCTCATCTGCTTCAAGAGCCTAAATGCTTCGTCTAGACAACTCTTTTTTTGTAAGCCTTGTCAACAAGATCACATAGCCGTACGTAGTCCTAGTCGCATTTTCTCACTCAGGAACTCCTTCCAGCTTTGGGCACTCCAACGACCCTGGAACTTCCTGGTTCGGCTTTTGTTACCGCCAGTGGAAATTATCGACAGCATAGGTGCCGGCAACACCGACAACACCATGTTCGCCTACCGCAACTGGGGCCAGAACCTCTGCGCTTCTGGGCAGGTTTGGCTGGGCAGTCATGCTGACGTGTCAAAGGCCTTGTTAAACCCACAGGCCCGAAACCATTGGTTGGGCGAGCACCCGTTGTACCGGGGCTCCTTGCCGGAGGGGGAGTCTGGTCGTTGCGTCTTCCTGCTGAGCTTGTCAGGCAAAGCTGCAGGGGGTACTGGCGACCACGAAGCCTTCCGCCAATGCATGATTGACACTCTCTTCACTGATGCCGCCAGAGTGCGGGAGACGGACGAGATGTCACAGCAGCTCATACACCAGACTGCCGAGGATTTTCTGAAGCAGGGAAGCAACGACTTCTACTACGGAACAGACGGAGGCAACACAGTGTTTTGGACGAAGTACTTGCACCATGTCCTCTTCGCCTTGGACATCGAGGAAAGCTGAGACAAGCCCTGACGCACAGTGCTGCAATCCGAAACATCTCCAATCTCCCCCGATGCCTTCCCCAAGCTTTTGAGCCCGAGAGCTTCAGAAAATCTCGACCCTGCTCAGGACAAGGCGGTGCTGTCCACGCTCGACTCCCTTTACACAGGGTCATCTGCCTTGATGAGTCTTGGGTGAACTTAGCGTTCATCTTTGTTCGTCATAAGTACACGTTCTTCGATTTGGGTGCCCAAGAGCCGCCCTAGGCACTACCTCGAACCATTTGGCCGCACGCCCATCTGGGATAAGCATGCCACGATAGGGACGGTCGCTGACCTCTACGAGAAATCCGCGGCCTTCGCAAACTTCGAGGCAAGGGAGACGGTGCATCCTTCCGGTGTGGGTTTCAGTTGGGTTTCAAGTTGGTGACTGGTTGGTGGCGTGTGCAGTTGATGTTGTTGAGAGGTGAAGCCGGAGTACAACAGCATGTCCTCTCGCGAGCTCGCCTTGCTGATGACGGCGATCATCCGCATCGCCGGCGTGCAGGGCTCCCGCATGCTGCTTTGGCTCTGCACCTCGGGGGCGCTCCATGGGAACCTGCAGGTGGACGCCCGGCCCATCTGGGACTCCCTGAGCCTGGAGGATGACGACGAGGTGCTCCGCTTCATCCTGGAGGTCTCCCGGCTCTCCCCGCCGGTGACCGTCTCCCATCACATTGCCCAAGAGCCCTTCTCCTGCGAGATCGCCGGCAAGACGTACAGCTTCCCGAAAGGTGCCTGCCTGAGAGACATTCGCGACACACACGCACGAGGTTGAAGGGCTCTGCCAAGTTGAGGTTTTCTCTGTCTCGGCTGAGGCACCAATGTGGCCATTCCCCTCGTGTACGCCAACATTGACCCGACCGTCTGGGGCGAGGACGCCTTTGAGTTCAACCACAATCGGCCTGGCCTCAAGGAATCGCTGGGGTTTGGGGGCAGGCATGTAGGGCAGCTGTCGAGTCCATTTCAGCAGTCCGGGTGAACGTTGAGATTATGAAAAGCCCTTCTCAAGACCAGCGCAGGAGAAGCACGTCGGCTTCAACTCCGTGAATGGTGAGGGAGCCCGCGAATGTCCTGGCAAAGGCTTGGTGCTGAGAACCACGGTTCGCCTGCTGCAGGCAGGGATGCACATGCATTTTACACAGTGGCTTCGTTTATGGTGTGTGCAGATTTGTTTCTTGAGGAGGGTTTTTGGATTCATTTTTGGGTACTGAGATTTCTGGCCCTTTAAGACCTGAAGGACATCACCTAGGATTGGAGGTAGCTCCTCTGACAGTGACTTCGTAGCTTGTCCGAAGATTTGGGTAGTCTGGCTCAGGAGATTGGCAAGAAGAGGCGGCAGCAAAATGCCACTCCACCGAATGTTTGAGGTTGGCCGTCTGTATAGCAGTGGCCTCTCTGTCCGAGCTCAGCCATGTGGCAAAAGCACCACAGGATCGGCTCGGGCTTTGTGGAAGTGTCCGGTTGACACTAAAGGTGTCAAGCTGATCCTCTGAGACCTCAAGAGAGGGGAAGGTGAGCGTCCTGCGAAAAGTGTCTGCCGCCAGCAAAGCTCTGCACAAAAAAAAGATGCCGCCTCGAAGCGTTCCCCTCTGCCTTCTCACCCTAACCTGTAGGGCTATAATCAATCCTAGAATCCTGAAAGGTGTCACGTTGTTGAAAGACTCCTGTTAAACGACAACACGTCCAGCCACTTCACGATCGGAGGCAAAGTCGGGTTTTGGGAGGTGTTCCATGCGACACGCGCGATATTATGCAGGTCTTACCTTGTTTGTTTACGGAAGGGGCATACAACACCACCTGCACAACAGTCATCATCTGCCCCCTCCCCCACCACCCCCCATCACCCCAAACGCAAGAAACACAAAAGCAAGCGCACCAGCACGAATCATTGGAGGACGTGACTACCTAACCCGACGACCGATGTTCCACACGCCTGTGCGCCGTGCGCCAGCACCGGCTCGTTCGGAGGCGCCTCGCTGTTGCCTCGGCGCGCTCACTGCCCCGAAGATGAAGAGCCCTGCGGTCAATCTTGGGTAAGAGAGTCATGATAATTTGTCGTAGCAGCAAGCAGGAGTAGTGTCCTTGTAGTTGTAGTAGTAGCCATCTTGTACAATGCACATTTGGCACCTACGACTTTTCCAAAACATGCTCAGAAAGCTGCCTGCGCAGTAACACCCCTTGAAAGATCGCGCAGGTTCACAAAGCCTTTCCAAACTCCGGATCTTCCACTGAACGCTTTGCAACAAGGGCTAACCCCGCTCCCATGTCCAAGCCTCACACCAGTGCACACTCTTCCTCATTTTCTGGAGGTATAGGCCTTCGAAACGTGTCGTCGCGATGCGGCGTGCCCTTGACAGATAGTACAAGGGGTACTCCCCGCGCGATATGTGCGCAAAGGCAATCTCTTGAACCTCGCAGGAGGCTTCGTATGGACACGCGACACTCTCCGGGTGCTCTGGTGGCTGAGGGCTAATGGCCAATGCCTGGCAGTGCCTAGCAGCCTGTGATGCAAACCAAGGAGGCGTGACAAGGGTTGGCGGGGCGTGACCATCTCCCGTGGCTCTTAGACATCATCGCTCCTTCGTGGTGGTCAGGCTGCTTGGCCCCGTTGTCATGCGCGGGAGCTTTGGCCACACGAAGAAGGAGAAGCAACGTTTGCACTCTTGGCTCATTGTGGCTTGCCGAATCTCGGAGGTTTGGCACAGATCTGTCAAGGTCCCGATGGGAGATGACAGTAGCATTGGCTCGACTTGGGCCGGGGGAGTGAGGAAAAAACATCTCTACATGTTTTCAGCTCGGGCGGTGTTGAGTCCGACTGAGAGTCATGCAGCAAGTGTCGAGAGGGCGTGAGCTGTTGGTTTGTTTAGACGAGGCACTTGTGGCGCAAACTTGGTTCTTGTTCCGTACCGGTTCCACTCCGTTCCACTCCAAGCTCGGGGCTCGGGCCAGCCTCGCTTGGAGCAGTTTTTCTCCCAGGTCTTCTGCGAGAGGCTTTGTCAGTGACCTGCGCAGTGGTGAACCCGTCCCTTCTTGTCACACGGTCCAAGGTAGCCGGTTGCGTGTTGGTAGCATTGCTTGACTGAAGTTTTGATTATGAAAGACATGTGATTCGGACTTTATTCCCCAAACAGTCTATTGTTGGGGTTCTAATTGGGTTTTCATTTAAGGATTGCCGACATTCTGAGGACTGTTGCCGGGTTCCTGGGCTCCTTGTCTCCCTGTGTCGCCCTTTGTCTCCCTTTGTCTCCCTTTGTCTGCCTTTGTCTCCCTTCATGTGGGTGGCTTTGCCGGGTTGCTGTGCTCCTCGCCTCCCTTGGTCTCCCTTCGACTCCCGGCATCTCCACTGTTTCTTGTAATTTTGATACTGCAAAGGTCCAAGGCTTTGTCCGTTCAGCTTGGGCCCAATCATGTCCTGCAGCCGTTCATCGGGCTTGAGCCGATGTATCGATTCAGTGTGAACATCGACAGAACCCCCCGTGCTCTTGCAGACACGCGGCCTGTTGTTTTCTTTGCCACCACATGTCCAGTCTCATCATGATCGTCCAACTAGATCACATTCTCTTGCATGCAACACAACTTCCCAGTAAGATTAGATACTGTGACAATTACACCGGCCTGTTCCGAAGATGGCGGTCAGATCACTGCGTGTGGCCGCAGCGTGCGCGCTTGCTGTATTCACATGGAGCCTTGTTTTGCAAAGCGTGGTGTTGTGTGCCACATAGCGATCCACGGTGCAGGTACCGGGACTTTTGCCGTGCGGTACAGACGACCTTTGCAAACGACTTCTCAGCACAACGCCAGTTGAGGCCAGGCTGGCAAGTGGCAAGCGCAGGATGTCAGAGATGTCAGAGTCAAGACTCGCTTGGAACTTTGCCCGTGGCTTCTTGCCTGAACATCTGCCATCATGTGCCCAGCTGCACGAGTACTGCACGAGTAGTGGAGTAATGGCTCAGGGCCGAAACGGCCCGCACGCTTCGGAAGCACGCGGCCTCGATGTCCGAGGCAGACCTGGCAGGGATCTCAGGGCTAGGTGAGTCGTAGTGAGTCGGGCAGCGAGGGGCCTTTGCTCAGCGAGACTGTGTGTGTATGGCTTGTGGTTCTGAGCATTGCTGCGGTGTGTCTTGAGGTCAACGATCTGAAGTCGGGTACTGACATGATCCGATACGAGATCGTTCAGGTGCGCCATGGAACCCAAATGCCAAGCAACCCTCAGCGCTCTTCGGCATACAGGGTTTAGGGTTGTGAAACATACCCTGTCTATGTAGCCCGTAGTCGCACCAAGGTCACACCTCCATACTTTCTCGTCCTTTGTATAGTGTTCATACTCCGCTACCCCTAAAATAGGGAGCTTTCTTTTAATGTCTTTGTTTTCGTAGGCCTTGAGCTCAAACCGCCTTGTATGTCCAAAAAGTGTGCTTCGTAGGAACTGCTCGTGAGAGATCCCACTCCAAAAGGGTTTAGTCATGGCAAATCCAAAGCACCAGGCATCCTTGAATCCAGAGACCAACACCTACCGCGCGCACGTCAACCAGGACCCAAGAGCCAAGTGATGCGCAAGAGATGCCTTGAGAGAATCTGCAATTCTGCGTGGCAAAGTGTTGAAGACTCTGGGCTCATGGGGCCAAGGACCACCTCTCCCGTGGTGACGTGCCACCCCCAGCTCCGTCGGGCCACTTTTTCTTTTTTTTTGTTTTGTTTTTTTTTTGGGTCGCCCCTCTCCCATGTTACGAGCCTAACTTCGAACAGGTGCTGAACCTCCTCACACCCGAGGAAGCCTTGAAGGGCGGCAAAGGCGGTGCCTAGGAACTTCCGGCAGCGGAAGAAGCTTTCAAAAGAAGAGGGCGATGGTGTGAGTACTGTGTGACGTGGGACGTTGTGCGGTCGCAGCCGAGGGAAGTTGAGCTTAGCATTGGGGCGCTTCGAAGTCGACTAGTGCTCTGCTGCCCTTCAAGCTCAGGGACAGGGTGACCTTCAGCACGCGCATGATTCCCCAGTATTCCCCAGTAGGTTCCTCCGAAACCACGATCCAGTCCAAGGCCAAAAAAAGAACAACACCCCTAAGCCCGAAACATTGAACTCCAAGTAGCCTTACAGTGCGTGGCACCTGCCGGCCGCCCCTGCGAGAATCTCGAGGCTTCGCTAGCGAGCTTGTGGGGCTTTGACGTCCGCATGGGGCGTTTACGAGTTTAGACGACTTTGGAGTTTGAGGAGAGGCTTAGGGGGTTTCTGGGATTTTCGGACTCGGGTCCTTTTGGGCAGTCTGGGGTTAGGCTGTATATGCTTAAGTCCATGGTGGCTTTCATTGCATCGCCTACCCAAAAACCCTATGAAATTGAAACGCTGGACCCGTTGTTCAGACCCCGTGAGGACCCTGCCTCATTTTTCAACCCTGAAGGGGGCCACTATGTTGGCTGCCTGCGTCCTGCGCGTCTCCCCGGCGCGGCTGCAGAACACCTGGGACTTCTACCGGACCTCTTGAGGGCTTCGGGGAGGGCATTTGAGGACTTATCCACGCTCATTGTTGTGCTTCGGGCATGTTCCCTGCTTTCGAGGTTCACGCTTGCAACAGCTTACAGACGGAAAGTGAGAAATGTGCAGGACCAGCCTGGGCATGATCAGCACTGACACAGGCGAGCTGCGCGAGCTCTGTGTGCCAGGGAAGCCGGCCAGCTGCGCCCTGCGCCTGCTGGCGGACGAGCAGGTGAAGGCCCATGAGGGCCCATGAGGGCCCATGGTGGCCGAGGCCTCGCGTTAAAGTCACAGCTCGAACGTGAATTTCCCGTGTGCAGGTCGCGTACTCCCACGACAAAAGTGACCTCTACTGGAAGATAGGTCTGGCGGTCGATGACGTGCAGGCTGCGGCAGCAGCATAGTGGCACTGGGCATGATTTCTTATAGCCCTTTGTGCGGCTCCCCGTTGACCTGATCTCGCTTCTTTCTTGTGGCGCCCTTCGCAACCCAGGCACGCCTGGGCGCGCGCCCTGGAAGCCAGTTTCGGGACATCGGCTTTCTCACGCACCTGGCAGGCGGTGAACGGTGGTGAGGGCATAAGAGGCCGAGAGACATGAGTCATTCTGAGACACTGCTAGATCCCGCCGGCTTTTGCATCGAGCTGCTGCAAACGACGTTTGAGTCCAATGCCGCAGAGAGGGCGCAGCGGCTGGCGCGCCCGGCTCCTCGCCTGAAGCAGCTTGTTAAATCTTGGCTTCCCACAGATACGCACCGTCGCCAAGGTCGCAAACAAAGGTTCGACCATCGCTCAGGACTTTGTCCCTTCCCCGGAGGGGCGAACAGGGCCTGGGATAGCTTCAGCGGTTATGCACCTGATGATGAAAGGGATTGGGTTCGAGTTCTATGAGTTCTGTTGAGGTCATTGGGCAGATCACAACGCGCATTACCGATCCAAAGCGCAGCCTGGAATTCTACCAGAGGCCAGACGCACATCCCCTGCCCTCGCTCTCACTTTCCCACGTCCCGTCCTCTGTCCTCTCCCGTCCCTTCTCCCTGTCTCCAGGGTCTTGGGAATGAAGCTGCTGTCGGTGCAGGCTTGGACCCCGCACCCCCCATTCCATGGAAGTTTTCAGTGTGTGCATTTCAGTGAACTGTTGTGCAGCTCAGTGCAGGAAGTGGCCCCATATGGCTTTACGCTCCTTGCCTGCAAGGCAAAGTTCTCCTATGGGCCGGCGAGCCCATGAGAATGCAGAAACCATCACATTGAGCACCACTCAACGCCGCACCCCAACTATGATTTCAGCCCAGGCTTTACTTCCTCGCGTTCACCGAGGACACCCCTCCCAAAGACGATCTGGAGGCTTCTGACCGAAGCACTTTTGGATACTGTTGGCCGCCTCTGTTGTTGGCTTCGGTTGTCCGCAGCTGAGGCGGTGGAGAATCGAGAGTGGCTGTGGCAGCGCGACTACACGACTCTTGAGTTACAGCACAGGCAGAGCAAAGCAAAGCAGCAAAGCTTGTGGGAACCCACCATTTTATCCCACGACTCTCCTTTTCAGGTGGGACTCCGTGCCGGGCACCTTGCGCCTACCTGCCAAAGACGAAGAGGCGCACGAGATCGCAGCATTGGAAGGGTTGAAAGGGGGTGAGGCGAGGCAACCCGATCCACTGTATTCCACTGTGGATCCACCCTGCTTTCGCCGCATTCAGGGGCTGGCTGGCATCGTGATCCGGCTGCCCCCCGAGCATTTGCGCAGGCACGTGCAGGGAGGTGGGAACGGGGCGGGGCGGGCGCGAAGCTGTCGCCCCCACGATTTTCGCCGCACGCTCTTTGTTTCGGGGCAGGCTTGAAGACTCCGGGAGGGTTCTCTCAGACCCGGACGGCTTGCCCATTGAGCTGGAGCCGCTTCCGAGCCCTTAGCGAAGGAACCCTAGCCCTTCGCTGAGAAAACACAACGTGCCTGCAAGTTGGCTGTGCATCGAACGTCGTGAGAGATGTTCTGATTTCGACCTTTTGAGAGGTGTGTGGTGCTGCAAGTCGCTGAAACGCCAGTTGTCTGAGGTATGTGAGGCCCGTTCATATCCGGCTCCTTCAGCGAAGCTTTCTAATCTTTCCGGCAACCCTGGCAGCTTGTGGCTCAGAGGTTTTCCCTTGGGATCAAAATGAATTTTCCTTGGCTCAGGGCCAGTGTGAATCCCTCAGACCCCAACCCCCGGAGAAGGAGCTCTGAGTGCTCTGCATGCCTCTCCGAGGGACTACATCGAATACATCGAATCCCACACATCGTACGCTTGAACAAGCCACCCAAACAATGACGGGCGATAATTCCACCAAGAAACCACCAACCAGAAAAGAGTGATAAGCACATCTTAGCACCAACGCTACTCCATGCTTCCTCGTTTGGCCATGTGATGGTAGCTCCGATGTCCCGACTACGAGGGTCGGCGTGGACAACCCCAGGCCGGAGCATCTCTTCTGTTGGGGCGGTTTGGGTGTAGGGGCTGAGGATTTAGGACATGTTGCTAGTTTAGCTTGGGGTTTCTTGGGGCCTTTTCTGGTTTCTCGGGTTTAGGGTTTAGGCTGGGAGTTCGGGTTTGAAGGGCCTCCTTGAACCTAGGAAACAAGGTGGAGGACTTTGGGGTCTACGCTTAGGGTTTGGGAGTTTGGGGCTTGTGTGTTTGCAGTTTGGGGTCTTTAGTAGGGTTTGCTTAGGGTTCCGCGGGTGTAAGAATGTGTAGGAGTTCAGGATCTAGGGTTCAGGGTGTGTCGGCGTTCGGGGGGTTTCAGGGTTCTGTAAAAGTTCATGGTCTGCCGGGTTCAGGGTGGTGGTTTAGGGTCTGCTTAGGGGCTAGGAGTTTCCAAAATGCGACCTGAAACCTCGGCTCTCGAAGTGTGCACTGTTTAAATCTTTACAACGCACCCTCACTTGTTTCATGCGACCGCTACTCCAGCAAGATCGGAACTAGACATGTGCAAAGACGCGGGTTTCTTTGGTGGGTGTCCCCTTGTACAGCTTGCAGCACGAAGATTAAACTCAACAAGACGTTGCACGGGACCGTGGGTGCATGAGGATCGTTATTGTGAACCCCTTGCGCGTGCCTCGGCAGTCCAAGCGGTGCGCCTTTGAGTGTCCAGTCCGCTCGGTTGGGCTCTGCAGATACGGAAAGCGATCGCGGGCCGAGGAAAGAAGAGCAACCGACTGTAAACCTGAAGCTCTGAGAGCCCGAAGTGCTATTGAGCTTGCGGCATGTTTAGGCTTGCTGGCGGACCTCTCGTGTGTCAGTTCCAAAAGTGAAAGCTTGGGCGGGGTGGGCAGGGAGCTGCCAAGGGTTCAAGACCTCTTGTTTCAGCTGGAAGCCGAGGCGAATCCCTAGCTGCAGAAAACTCCGAACTAGAGTGCGCAACGGACTCACGGAAAATCATGAGCCGACACAAACTTGAGTCTTGCTGGGATCGGCTTCCTGCAAATCTTCGAACAACGAGAGACGTCAAACCTGCAAGGTTTAGGGTGTAGGCCCGGGTCAGGAGGCCTAATGTTGAGGAGTTTTGTTTAGGGTTTAGGAACTCAGGAGATTACGGGGCTACAGGGTTCAGGGTTTGGGAGTTCAAGGTCTGGTAGGGTTCAAGGATGGGGGGGCTTCGGGTCGAATGGGGTTTTGTGAATTTAGGCTCTGCATGCTCTGCAAAACAAGGGGATTGGGGGATTAGGAGTTCCGGGGATCTTGAAAGCCTTCTGGATGTCAGGGTCTACTGGATGCAGTATCGTATGGCCCATCAGCTTAACCATGCCATGCCAGGCAATGGAGCATACGACTATGCCGACTGGGATGGCTGGGGCGCAGGCGGTGTTCTGAACACTAAACCCTGTACCAAGCCCTGAACCCTAAACCCTAAACCCTAAACCCTGAACCCTGAACCCTGAACCCTAAACCCTAAACATTCGAGCCCGGCTTGCACCATGGTGCATCGATGTCAGGATGGGACGAAGACTGGGAAGAAGGGTGGAGAGCAGATGCCTGGTGGAATCAGGAGGTGGCTTTGGGTTCCAGGGGAAAAAGGGCACATACGAAAGCAGGACCCTTGATATCTCCAGCTAGAAGGCCTTAATCCCGAAAGCTCGGCCCCGAAGCCTTAAACACCCCAAAGCACAAAAGCCCTCTATACGCTCCCAACAGCCGAAGGGCCAAAACCCAAAAATGACCCTAGAAACTTTACCATCTCTAAATGCACTCGGAACCCTGCGCAAGGTAAGATACCTACATGGCAAAGATTCTCGGACAATAAATATGTAATCATAGGCAAGAATTTCTAGCAATATTGATAGTTGACAACGGTAGATTGTAGTAGATTGACAGGAGATGAATAGTAGATAAATAGTAGATAAAAGAGACAATGATAGACAATGTCCTTTGCGCAACAGTAACACCCGCAACCCGAGACTTAGCGCAGGAGCCGAGACCGGCGCACTCACGCCGGGTGCCGGGGGCCTTAGCCATTCTGAAAGGTGGGTTGCTCTTCTCCAGTTTTTTCCGTCCAAATTGTGTGGCAAGTGGGAAAGAGAGCTGAAAGGTCGACGTTACCGCGATGCAAGCGCCTGCCCGGACCCGCGGCTCTCGCTACGACGCAGAGTGCTCAATTCGGGTAATCGCACCCTAGACACCTCGGCGGGCCGCTGCGTTCGCGGCGTATCAGTTTTTCGAAAAGGTCTTGCCAAGGTCTCGCGCGCCTTCCCGCGATCCGAGTCGTGCTGAAAGCTCTCCCGCCTCGGTCCTCTGTCCCCTGCGCTCTTCCCGGCTTTGTCCCCCCCCTCTGACTGCCTCTGACCTCTTGGGACTTTTCCGTTCGTTCTCATGAGGCGGGCAGCTGCGGAGCCTGTTTGGCATAGGATTTTTCGGAATCTGACGCAGGCTGCAAGGATTCCCCTCCCAACCCCAATAAACGAAGGCACATTGTTGGTCTACACCCCCCGCACAGTGACACACCTAGCCTTCGTTTCTCGATAGAAAATACAATCTTTTGCACGACCTGCTGTAGTTAAATTTTCTACACTTTTCATGTAGGCTATGTTTGTTTATCACCTGCTACCGCTACATGAATTCACGATTCAATCGCGGTTTTACTTGATGTACTCAGGGTTGAGGGTTTCATGAGACCAAGCCCTCAATTCAAGACCGAAAACAAGAAACAATACAACACAGGCCTCACGGCGGCTCCTTCGTTAAACATGAAGGTCACCGTTACGATTGCATAGGGCCAGGATTTGCATTCGGTCATCTCCGCTGGTCTTCACTTCTGTGTACGCTTGGGAGATGAAGGCAAAGTCTTTGCCTCTGTGTGCAGGATTCTGGCCCCCAGTGCGCCAGAGCACGAGTCGTGTTAGTGTGGGCAGTGCAGCAGGGCAGCCAGGGCAGCTAGGGGTCTTAAAATTTGCATCTTGCAAGCGAACCTCCGACGCTCAGGCTCCCATCTGCACCGGCCTGGGTCTCTCAGAGCTCCTCGGATCGTCTGGCAGGCAAAGGTCTCAGCAAAGACAGGATCAAGATGCCGCCAGGCCCCGGGTTCTGGCAGGGAGTTGCACTTAAAATCAAACACAGACGTCTCTCAAACTCTCAAAGACCTTCAAAGTTCTACCATCCAGCGCTTCGCCTCCGACTTTAGCGGCTTTGGGTCTTTGAGCAGGCTTGGACGTCTCCAACGGGTTGGCGCACAGCATACGTGCAAGCCGCCCGGAGAAGGGCAAGGACGGCAAGGACGGCAAGGAAGGGAAAGAGGGCAAGGCCTTTGCCATCACCATGAAGGGCAAAAAAGGCCCTCCACAAAGGGCCTTAGGAAAAGGCCAGGAGTCGTATTCGACACAGAAGGGCACCTGGGAAAGGGGCCAGGAGAAAGGCAGGAAGCAGAGCAAAGACAAAGGCGGCCGACGACCGAAAGGAGGCTGGTGGTGGTGACAAGCAACTGGCCCCCAAAAGCCCCCCAAAAAGCCCAAAAGCACACTTGCGAACGCACGCGAATGCCAGGAGACGAGCTCGGGCTTTCTCGAGGGCTCGGCTCCAAGAGAAACAACCATCTCTCTTGTTCTTCAAGCAATGCCCTTGAGATATGAGAGCCTGAGGCTCGCTCCTGACCCGCGGCCGCGTGTGCCAAGAGCTTAGCTCCTGGTAGAATGGAGTCAACTGAAGATCTCGGGTTCGAGGCGGTTTGGGTAATCCAAGTTAGATATCTGGGGGCACCTGTATCTTTCCTCCAATCCATGATAGCCCAAGTTCCACCTGGACCCCTCAAATCCGGCCGTGCCAGAGAAAAAACTCGGCCCACCCTACCTGAAACACTTCAAGCTGTGCCCCTGAGAACTTCCTCGACATTTGGCTCGCCTCGGGCATTTTCCGACTCGTTGTTTCTGACTCGGTCCCCACTAGATGACTGGTACATTCCTCTGAGAGCCAAGTGCCGCTACCTAAACCCCAAACCTAAACCCAAATTTAAGCAGATGCTTGAACCCTAAACCCTAAGCCCGAAACCCTGGCAAAAACTACCTAAACCCGAAGACTGCTGAGGAACATGGAGGGAGCCATCGGCAGCAGGACCGTCGCCCCGCCCGCGACAGCGCCGGTGGCCAAAGCGGCGGGCGGCGCTGCCCGAGGTGGGTCTTGGGTGCCTCGAAAGCTCTAAGGTCCTGACGTTGAGGGTTTTGTGCCTTTGTGTTCGTCTTTAACTCTCCCAGGGGCACCCCTTCGAGGATGATGGTGATGATGGTGCTGCTGATGATGACAATAGTGATGACTTTGACGATGATGACGATGATCATGACAATGTGGGATTCTGGAGATGAAGAATATGAAGATCATTACCATGATGGTGATGCTGATCATGAGGATGATGATGACAAAATTGTCGTCATCTTGATCTTCATGATGTGATCATTGTAGGCTGAGGATCCTTGCGAATTTGTATCCCGTGGCCTGTCACTTCACATACCCCTCGACTCGACTCCGCCAGTCGTGGGGCTTCCAATCGGCGCCAAGCCACAGGACCGACTGAGTCGAGGAAGTTGAGGGGTCGGACTAAGGGCGGCAAGCAAGTGTCAACGTTTCGCAGATGTTTTGGGCGACCCCTGATGATCGTACTGTAACATGCTCGAATGATCAATTATACTGTGAGCAAGGCTCAGCTGGAACGGGCTGTGCTGAACTGCATGGAGCATTGGAAGACTGCCCCAACTGCCCAACATAATCCTGCCTCGCAGGACTACGCGAGATCTGCGCCCGGCAAGGGTAGTCCCTCGGCCAATTCTGGGTGAACAAAAACTCTTGCGTCAGTGCGGTGAGCACACTGCGAGCCTCCGTTCCCCTGCGCTGCTTGAGGTCGGCCAGGGGACTCGAGCCAGGCACGTCTATGACTTTTCAGAAGCTCCATGGGTAGCTCCCGGTTAAGGCCCTGAGGGATCAGACGTCCCTGGATGCGAGCTCCCCTGTTCAGAGGACGGCGCCGCCTGGCGACCTACTGTGCCGGGTTTCCCAGACAGTTCTATGGTGCCGAATGGTGAGCATCGAAGTGATATGAAGTGATATGAAGCTTGATATCAAGTGCAAAATGAAAGTGATATCAAGTGATATTGCAAGTGATCTCCAGCACGAGCGGCCGAGGAACAAGATCAGAAAGGAAAGAGTGAGCCAGGACGTGCCGGCCCCAAGTGTCGGGTGTCGTGATGGGAGAGCAGAGGAGTGAGATGGCAGTGAGGGGGTTTTGTGGTATGTTTTCTTGCCGAGGCGACAGAAAATGATTGAACTGTTGGGATGCCGGAAATGCCGTGGGACTTGGACCTCCGCTGCTTGCAAAAAAGGAGAGCTCAAAAAGTGCAACGTGTCGCACTCCCTGATGCGCCCTATGTGTTTGAATTTTGTGTGTGTGTGTGTGTGTGTGTGTTGATCCCGTGTTCGAAGTCCATCTCGTATACGAGCATAGCAAAGCCAGACCAGCCGAAACCAGATCAGATTCGGGGCGAGGGTTTTCGGGTTTAGGGTGGTGGACATTTTCGGGTTTAAGGTCTTGAGACTCAGAGTGTGCAGGCTTTTCTTGATGGCAAGTCAAAAAGCATGTAGGGACGGCTCTGCACGTCATCTTCTGCACTTTTTCGTGGACAAGGGCTTTTTGTTCTTTCGGCCTTTCTTTCCGAGCATTGATAGATGACAATGGCGCAAGGATGCACGAGGCTGCCTGATCTTCCTCAGCATGACAACCTGCTGTCTTCCCCTGCTGTTGTGGAGTCCTGTGAACTCACTTTTGAATACCACGTGCATGGCCTACTGATCATCCTTCGAAGTGCCCTCGCGTATTCGGAATGCTCGCCCATGATCAGATGCCTCGGCGGTGGTGTTTGGCAGGAAATGCTGAGAACCAGCGCAGGCCAAACAACCGGAATCTACGTAGACTCTGCATCGCTCCCCACGCGCTGCCAAAAACCCTGCGCGGCCTACCAGATCTCCACTTGATTTGGGCGCTGGTGTTCCAGTTTTGGTACGCATTGACATCCAGCCTGTATTGTATACGACAGGGCCCAACACCCAACCCAGCCTCGCGATTCCGGAATATGTAGATGGTACCGACGGAGGGATCCACAGCGGTGCCGACGGAGGTACCTACGGAGGTACCTACGGAGGTATCTACGGCCTACGGAGGTACCCAGCGAGTCAAACCATTCCTTATCAGGGCAAGCGCATCTGTGAATGCAGCGGCTAGCAGATTGCAATCAGCATACAGCCGGTGCAACGAAGCATTTTGGGAGATTTGCTTTTGGCTTCTTTGTTATGGGCTGGTCGGGACGCCCGATTGTCGTCAGCCCTGTCTTGTGCTGGCTGCCATACAGCTCGGAGCTCCGGACTCCGAACCGATGCCAGGCTCTATACGCTTGCATGATGCTGATGGCTTGCATGATGCTGATGAGATTCAACTGAAAGACAGGGACTTTGAGTTTGTGGGGGGTGAGGTTGACATGCCACAACTGCGCTTGCGGTCATTCGCCATCCTGCACAACGCAGCCAGAAGCTATGTCACAGAACAAGAGCCTCCCGCAATGCCCATTCATCTGACGTGTAGGGCCGTATACAAAAGTGCTACAAGTGCCAAAGCCCGAGCCCAGATGCTGCTGGGCTTATGCCTGCAGCTTTTTTTTGCTCTAATGTTGGAAGACTCCAATTGGCAAATGGACCCTTGATGGAGCCATGCATGTCCCCTCCTGGTCTCCAGGCCGCATTGAAGCCGAGTTGCCACTGTTCGTGGGGGCTTGTTAGGGCTGTCACGGCATTGAACAGCTGCCCATGTTGCAAATCTCTTGCGGTTGGTGCTAGAGGGTTCTTGGGTTCTTCTTTTGGGTCCATTCTCATGTTGTCAATATATCCGTGGAGGCCGCGGTGCCTGGCAGAGGCTCAAGCCTGAGCCGTATTTGCTTTGCCTTTTGCAGTAGCCAGAAGGATGTGGCTGGATTGTGTCAAGGATTATATGGTTGTGGTTTGCAGGACGCGGCATGGCGGCATCCTCCAGGCTTGCGCATGTCCCTGAACTCGAAAGACGGAGTTATGGTGCGATGTTGTGGAGGTGCAGCGTATTCGCAAGCCCAGCCTCGATCGTGGGAGCATGCTCGGTGCGACCACGGTGCCAGTACCTTGGCAGGAAGCAACACAAGTCACTTTGGTAACCTGGCTGCTGCACCTCCTTCCATCACCAGCGATGACAACAACACCGGCGACGACAGCGACGACAGGGACAACAACGACAGCGACAACAAGCACGAGAAGAAGAAGAAGAAGAAGAAGAAGAAGAAGAAGAAGAAGAAGAAGAAGAAGGAGAAGACGAAGAAGAAGAAGAAGAAGAAGAAGAAGAAGAAGAAGAAGAAGAAGAAGAAGAAGAAGAAGAAGAAGAAGAAGAAGAAGAAGAAGAAGAAGAAGAAGAAGAAGAAGAAGAAGAAGAAGAAGAAGAAGACGCATAAGAACAAGAAGAAGAATAGGAATTAACATAAGAATAAGAATAAGAAAAAGAATACGTGAAGAATCAGAATAACAAGAACAAGCACAAGCACAAGCACAAGCACAAGCACAAGGACAAGGACAAGGACAAGGACAAGGACAAGGACAAGGACAGCACAATAACAAGCAAAAACGCGAACAAGAATAATAAGAAGACAAACGGCGACAACAACAGCCAGTGTCATCGCAGGGCTGCCAGAAAATCCACGGCACGATGACAGCACGGGCCGCCAAATCCGTTTCCTGGAAAGCGCAGCGCTAAATGGCACGTGTGGCAGTGCTCACAGGCAAGGTGCTTCGCGATTTCAAGGTGTCCTTGTTCTTGTAGACCGTAGACCGCTTGTCGTCGTGGCTTGCAGCGGGGTGCAGCCCGGTGTGGAGAGCCGACCAGTCGATCATGCGGCAACGGGCAACGTCGGCAGTCAAGGCACGGGACCATGCAGGACAGAAGAAATCCGATGCGCGTGTGCTGTCATCGCGAATGTACGCTTTCGGCCAGATGGCTGGTTAGGGCGACGCGTGCAGTTTAGCCATCGCGGATCTTGAAGGATAGCGGCACGCAACGCGCATCCCGAAATGAATGCCAGGGTTGCTTGTGACCTGATGCACACATTTGCGACGCTTGCTTCTTGAGCATGATTCCTTTGGCGGCCGCCCCGTGCCCACGTTCTTGTCAACATCGGTGGCCGCCGAATTCTTGAGGACTCCCAAAACGTCGTGTTTGACAGGCAAACGCAGCAATTTCGGCTCCTCCCATCCTGGATTGTTGGTGTGTTAGGCTCCCTCTGAGGCAGCAAGCTTTGTGGGTCTTCGTTTGGACGTCTGGGCTCGCGAAATGCGAAACGGTCGTCATCGGCCGCGGTTTTGGATTTCTGGATTCGCAAACCGCAACGTTGAAGGCTCCCGTGGTTCAAAGTCGGCTTTTGTAGTGCAAACATAGTCGGCGGAGGACGTCCCGAACTCCAGCAGCACCAAAGTCGCACAAATGTGGTACGCAGCGGACGGCAGTACTCGGTGGGCCCCGGAGAAGGAGGAAGAACCTCAGCTTGAGTGCGTTGTTCCCGGCGTCCCGCCCTAGCAATCCCGTCCCTGCCATGATGAGTTCGGGGACCTCGCTGCATGCCTGCGTTCCAGTGTGCGGGTGGCGACGAACATGTCGGTGCGGGACTTGAACGTCATGCCTTCCCGTCAAGATGACCGCTGCATGGAAGGTCATGGCCAGTCGCCATGCGCACCATTAAGGCAGGACCGCGGAGTGGCCATTTGGCAAGCTTTCCGAGAACAAAAGCATGCCCCATCGGCCGTCTCGTCGTCTATGGGAGTGAGACACTGACAGGTGATGAAAGCGTCTCTCATTATTACTTGCGTTGTCTGCTGTTCGGGTTGTTTGCCTTGGCACGGCGCCTTTCGCGGCCAGTTTGTTTTCTCTGGCGCTGACTGGCGCGAAAGTCGATGGACGCTCTTTTCGTTGGCTTCGGGGCAGGCCATCGCCATCCATCGCCAGATTTACAAACATCAAGTGCGATACAGGATAGAGACAAGAAGTGTAGTTTTTTGGTGCAGCGCCCGGATTGCCCAGCTGATTTCAACCGGTATGCGACGTCGCCGAACGAGCGACGTAGCTACTCGCAACGATGTTTGCCGGAAAATTTGACGTCGTCGGATGTTTGTAATTTAACAGATCCAGCCACTAACCATATCCAGCCAGTACACACTGCTGGGTTTGGACCAGGACCTTCAAGTCTCGTGGTTGCTCCTGCTGTGCTGAGCGTGACCTCGCGCTCTATCCTTTCTTCGCTTGCTCCTGCCAGAAAGAGCGTTTGCTCCGTCGCATGACCGAGACATCCTGCGTTGCCCTGCCACAACCTGCGGCCGAGCATGCGCACCTGTGTTTGCGCCCGGCGGACTTGGCCTTCGCAGGGCCGCGGAGCATGCCCCAAGCTGCGAGTCCATGTGCATACATTTTGAAATCTTCTAGGCATGTTGCCAGCCCGAGCATGCCCTCGCTGCCTATTTCGGGTTTTGGGCTGACTCCCTCAGGGCGCTCCGTTTCCGGGAGTTGCGCCGCATCGGCGCCTGCTTGCTTGATGGCACCGGAGCGCGCAAACTAGGCTATTCTTGCAGGAAATGGCAATGTTTTCGCCGGCGGAGCGCGTGGACAAGAAACCCGAAACTGGGTTACGTTTCAGGAAGAGGCGATGAGAGCGTCCCGAAAACTGGGCGACGGAAAAGGCAATGTCTTCGCCGGCGGAATGTGCGGACAAGAAACCCGAAACCGGGCTATGCTTGCTGGGAAAAGGCAATGCGTTCGCCGGTGCAGCGCGCGCAAAAGAAACCCGAAACTGGGCAACGCTTGCAGGAAATTGCAATGTTTTGAACGCGCCGACAGGAAGCCAAATGGCAATCGCGCGAACAAGAAACCACAAATTGGGCTATGCTAAAGGCAATGTCTTCGCCGGCGGAGCGTGAGGGCAATCCGAATTGGGTGGCGTGCGGGCGTCTGGGGGTGTGCGGGGGTGTCCGGGCGGGTGGTTGGGGGTGGGGGGGGGGGGGAACTTGGGTAGTATGCATTCGCAAATGGCAATTTTGTCGCCGATGGAGCGCATGGACAGGAAGGGCAAATGTTTTCGCCGGCGGAGCGCGGTTCTCGCCGGTGGGCGGGGGCACTGTGCTACGGTTCAGGACATGGTAGTGTTTTTGCCGGCGGAGCGCGACAGGAGTGCTGCATCGTCTCCGCAATCACGTCCCACGCTCCATTTCGGAGAGTGCTTGACGATGCATGGCGTCACGGCCGTCATCGAACTCGGTTTTCGCGGCTGAGCCGTGAGGGCCCGACTCGTTGCGGAAAGCTTGCCGAGGTGGAGCGCAGATGCGCAGCGGGCTGGGCAGGCGGCGCGGGAGTGGAGGAGCAGGCCGCCTACTCACGTGGCCTCGCGGGGCGCCGACCGCCATTGGGATGGTTAAACATTGCGTTCACTCGTTCGTTGCAAGCAGCTGGGCTGTTGGCCCGCTCGCTTGTTGCAAGCAGCTGGGCCGCGCTTGCTATCACGACCTGACAGATGTCTAACGGTTCAGGTTGCAAGAAGCTCCTGTGCATAACCGTCGTCTTGGGTAAACGATGTTGATGTTGGAGCTTTCTCGCATCGGTGTTCCTCCTCCCGCCAGTTGGGGTTTCACTGCCGGTACTCCCCGAACAGTTTTGAAGTCTTGCCGAGCGTCACGGACGCGTTCGCCCCCGAACACGACGCAGCCTCGCAAACCTACTATCCGGGGGGGAGACGATACCCGTGCTTGCGCAATGGCGAGCAGCCCTGCCGCTGCGCATGGGTGGCCTCGGACTCGCCTCGGCGGCAGAATCGGCATGCGGATTACGGGGCATCTTGGGCGGACGCTGCTGCCGTGCCAGAAGAAAGAAAGAAGATTCGGCGAGGTTGGCACGAGCGGCAAGGTGGGAGGCGGACGTTCCCGCGACGTCTTTCCGACGTCGGACAGCTCTGCCATTGGCGCATGCAATCGCAAGTGCCCGTGTCCGGTTGCTGTCGAGGCGACCGCATCAGCGAGCCTGCGGATGAAGGAGGCTGCTGCACGGGAATTGTCCACCTTGCAACATGGAAGGCAGTAGCGTGCGTTCGCGAAAGTAAAGGGTTCGAATACGCGATGCACAGCACTGCCATCCATGTGGCCAGTCACCCAGGCCCAAGCGCTGATCGGTCAAGCGAGGTGGACGGGCGTCTGCTCCGATTGCTTCCCAAAAAGCGCACTCGCGCCATCTTCTCGAAGGAGTTCGCGTGCCTCAACTGCGCTCCTGAGGCTCGGCGCTCGCCCACCGCCTGTAGCGAGCAAGCGCGTGCAGGCATCGGCGAAGGCTGGGGTGCGCTTGCGGAACTCCGGTAATGCGTCAGCCCATGCAGCCCAGTATCCGGCCGGCGCTGTGCGAACGGCAGAACTCAAGCCCAGGCCGCCGAGGGTTGCGGGTAAGGTTGCCACGTTTTGCGCGTGAGCGACGTCCGCTGTGGCCACGCCGCCGAGGCAGAGCTCCAACGTCTCCCAGAACGCCGCGTCATGTGCCTGCGCATAAGGCGCCACGACCTGTGGGGGGACGGTGCGCAGCTCACGAGGAGAAGCCACGCGCGCCGCGCAGCAGTTCCCTCTCGGTCCTTATCCGCTGTGCTGCCCACGCTGCGACGAAGTGCGGGTGGCCCACGCGGGGTGCCCAGCACAACCAGCCCACGTTCCTCCAGTGGCTGGAGCCCGCGCCACACGTCAGCCCCCAGCTCTGCTACACCGGGAAGAGGCGGACCGCCGGCGCAGCTATACACTCGTGTTTTGCCTTCGTTGGAGGCTGTGCCACATTCTGCCTCGACGACGCCAACTACTGTGTCGCGGGCGGCGCTTGCGCGCTCGCACGTCGTGAGGACATACAAGTCGTCGAGGAACGCGAGCAAGCTGTCCGACGCATGAAAGGCGGAGGCGGCTTTGAGCAGGGCCCCATGCTGCCCCAAGGCAAAGAGGGCCGGGGCACCTTGCTCAGCTATCTCAGCTCTTCGCCTTGGGCGACGGCGCGGTAATTGCCTTCACTCAGCCCTTCACCTTGGGCGACGGTGCGGTAATTGCCCTCACTGTCCCACCAGCAAA